ACCCACGAAAGCCACACCACACCCAAGGGAATCGGCAATGAGATCAGAGGAGTATGTAGAGCTTCCTCGAGCCCCTAAAGCTGAGGATCAAGCTCCAACTTCCCCTAAATATGACTCAGAGGCAGCGGACTACAAGGATGATCCCTTGGTAAGTGGGCCGATTGACCCCATAACTGTGCCCTTAGAACTGTTCATACCGGGCACCGGGAAGAAGATAAACTTAGCAACTTTACTGGACTCGGGCTGCACCTGCTGCTTAATCAGTCCGAAGCTAGTGGGGAATATGGGAGTGCCCCTAAGGGAGCTCAAGACCCCAATCACCTTTTGCCAACGATGAGTCTATAGCAGGGGGGGTTCCTGCTAGTTTTGCCACCAAGCCCCTGAAGATACATATGGGGGACCACTCAGAGACTTTAGCATTTGTGGCAGCCCCTGGGATGGAATGGCCGCTTGTGCTGGGACTGACCTGGTTAAAGAAATGGAACCCCATAGTCAATTGGAGGGAGGGACTCTTGAAACTCCTGAAGAGAAGGGCCCCTCCTCCGGCCAAGAGCAGAGGTAGGAGGCATGGACTGTGCCACGATATAGCCTCCACCCTCAATGAACAAGAGCTGCAAAGCCTCCACGGGAATTCCGGGATTTAGCTGAAGTGTTCAGTTGAGCAAAGATCGGATGAGCTTCCACCCTATTGCCCTACAGACTGTGCTATTGAAATTGTCCCGGGGTGAAACTCCCAAAGCCAAAGCTGTACTCCTTGACCCCCAGGGAATTGGAGGAACTCTGTAAATTAATTGACAAGAATTCGGCACGAGGTTTCATTCAGCCAGCTAAACCACGGGTGGCCGCCCCTGTATTATTCAGAGAGAAGGATGGGTCTTCGTCTCTGCATGAACTATAGGGGCTCAATGCGGTGTGCGTGGAGAATTTATACCCCCTCCCCCTAATGAAAGACATAGTAGCACACCAGTCAAAAGGCAAAATATTATCCAAGCTAGATCTGAGGGAGGCGTACTATCGAATAAGAATAGGGGAGGGGGATGAGTGGAAAACCGCTTTCAATTGCCCCATGGGGTGTTTCCAATTTAAAGTGCTTCCTTTTGGACTGCAAGGGCTCCTGTTGGCATTCATGCAATTGATTGAGGTCCTTCGTGAGCATTTATACAAGGAGGTTTTGGTTTATCTGAATGACATCCTAATCTATACCAAAACCAAGGCTAAGCATGTCAAATTGGTTAGAGTGGTACTAAATAAATTGCGCTTTGTTAAGCTTTATGCAAAACTGTCCAAATGCAAATTCCACAAAGATTGCATCGGTTATTTGGGCTATCGCATCTCCACCGAAGGGGTGGAGATGGATCCGGAGAAGGTGCAGGCCGTTTTAGAATGGGCCTTGCCCTGCACCAGAAAACAACTCCAAAGCTTCTTAGGCTTTGCAAATTTTTATCGGCAGTTCACTCCCTCATTTGCGCAAATAACACTCCCCATCACAAATCTGCTAAAAACTAAAGGTGGGGATAAGCCAAAGCCTAGCTAGCCACTGAAATGGACAGGAGAATGTCAAGCCACTTTTGAAAAATTAAAAAGACTTTTCTCTGAGGAGCCAGCTTGGACCGGAGGAAGCTTTTTTTATCCAAGTCGATGCTAGCAACATAGCAGTAGGAGTAGTCCTCCTCCAAAGGAACAAGGAGGGCCAGCTGCAACCATGTGCTTACATTTCTAAAAAGTTATCTGAAACAGAACAGAGGTGTGCGGCATGGGAGAAGGAGGCCTATGCTGTGCGTTGGCCTCTTTTAACCTGGCGGCATTTCCTAGAGGGGAGCAAAATACCATTTCAAGTGTGGACTGATCACAAGAATCTCGAAGACATGAAAACCCCTAGGAAACTGTCCCCTAAGCAAATCAACATACTAGGAAGCTCTATACTAGAATCACTTTCCTTGCTTTTCTGAAACATTGCTGGATGGGAAGCCAGAAATAGAAACCCTGCCTTTATAAATTACTTCTCTTAATTCAGCATTCTTATGTTCCAAGAGACATGGTCAACAAACAACCTCTTTATTGAGGAATATAAGTCATTATCTCTTTTAGCTAATCCTGGCCATGGACAAGATAGACATTGTGCAGGTCTGAACATTCATATTTAAAACCACTTTAAATAATGGTTGCTTGGATGCAACCTATTTTCATGTATGGTGGACTTGTAAAAATATTAAAGTCTTTTGGATTATGATTTGGTGGAACATTCAAAAGGTTTTTAAAAGGAAGATTAAGTTTACTCCCCAGTTATTTCTTTTGGGTATTTTTGTGTATTTTGATGCTTAAGAAACTATTTTAATGTTGAATTTAATAACAGCAGCAAGATTATTGGTGGGTCAATATTGGAAGAAGGACTCTCTGCCTTCTTTAGAAGAACGGGTATTTAAGGTTTCTAATTTAGCAGAAATGGCTAAAATTTCTGCTTATCTAAAGGACCATTCACGAGAGATATGTTATTGTATGGAGAAGATGGATAGAATATGTTCAGAAGAAATATGGAACTACAAAGTTTCATTTATTTTATGAGTAATGGATTTGTTTATAAAATTATGATGTTAAAATTTGAAGAGAGTTAAGGGTTAGTATGATTTTGGTTATTGTATAATTAGTAAACTTAAATAACTATGTTTAATACGTTTGTATAACCCTGTACTTGGCTCTGGGAAGTTGGGGGGGAGGGGGGAGGGGGGTGGGGGGAGGATGGGTTGAAGGTTAAATAGCTCAGATAAGTAGAAATATTTTTATTGTATACAATATTGATGTTTTAATTTGGAGAGAGGAATTGCTCGGGCATTTCCCCTGGACCGCATCCGGAGTGAGAAGATAGGAGGAAGGGGAGAAGCAAGTAGGAAGGTTGAGGAGAAGGAGGAGAGGGGGAGAGTGTGGAAGAAGAGGGAAAGAGGGAAGTGAGAGAAGAGGTTAGAGGGTGGATGCAGTTTGGGGGAAAATGGGTGAGCAATACCGAAAGTTGTGTGTATAAATTTATTTTATTCTTTATCTGAAGTATTTTTTATGAATGTAATGTATAATTGAAAATAAAAAAATTAATAATAAAAAAACCACTTTAAATACAAAGATTATGTCGATATACCCACTTGAGGATCTTGTACAAACAGGTATTCTGAACTTTTCTGGAGAAATGACTTCTCATCAATTTCTATATACCTTCTCACATCCCTTGACTATGCATTATTGAAATTTTGGGGAAAAGTGGAAAATTATATCAGTGCTCTTCAATTTTCCCACTGCATCATTGCAGAGACTTAAATGCCAGATTAGGCCCAAATGACAATCAGCTATTTCCTAAATTGTCTAAAATTTCATCTAATTTGCAGACTCTCCCACTCTTCCTAATCAGAGAATCTCATGACCACACCCAAAATTTTAGGGTTTACAGAATCTGCAGACATTCTCTAAGTTGAACCTGGAAATTTTGAATGGCACTGTTATTATTGACCATCTAACAGAGTCCTCACATTGTATAGGCACAAGGCCCTACATGACTGATTACACCATCATATCAAGAAACTTATCTTTCTCAATTTTTCAATTTCACATTGATAACCCTCTTGAGAGTGATCAATGTCCCCAATGTTATTTTTGAAGTCCTCCATTGCCTCTTTTTTTGAATACTTTTCCTGTCCCATCTGAAGACAGGTCCCCACCTTTTTGGCACCAAGGACCAGTTTCATAGAAGACAATTTTTCCATGGACTTGGGGAGGGAGGAGAAGCATGTAAGTAGATCCCTCGCATGCACAGTTTACAGTAAGGTTTGCACTATGAGAATCTAATGCCTGATGATCTGAGGATTTCTTAGTTGCATAACGATCCCAAAATTCCAAAGGGCCCTTTCTTCAGCTAGATTCAATGTCCTTCCAATAAGCCATAAGGAAAATACAAATATCCCCTTTGAACAAAGACTGTGTCCATTCGGTGGTGGAATAATTGAATTGATGGAACGTGCTATGCTCTATTGTTTCCTCTATGCAGATGCACATCAGGAGTTACTATTTCCACTTTTTATTAAATAGCTTGGCCATTCTAATTTGTTTTATCTCAAAATGGTATTATCAGATCAATCCAATTCCATCTCTCTGTCAACAGCCAAGTTCAATCCTCACCAGCGACAAATGTTTCTCTATCAGAAACAGAGAATATATATTCTTTTCAATTTCATTCTAATTAACTGTATTTTCTGAATTCTATTTGCTAGTTTACAACCAAATAAAGATTTGTTGCTGATGATGCTGTAAGATAATAAAAACTTGCAAGTTTTAATGCACCCCCACCCTCCTTCCCTTTACTTTCGAGAGAACTAAGGAGAGTCAAGTCTGAGCTGCTTTCTGAAATTACATTTCTGCCTTGAAATAAAATTTCTTTTATCTATCTATTGTTGTGGCTTTTCTTTTTGTTCAAGTTGATTCTTACATCTCATTATGGTGGGGGAGGGGAAGGGTGTTTGTGAAGAGAACAGCTTTTTATTAGCAATGCAGAAAGCAGACAGCTTTCTAAATTCCAAGGAAGAGAGGGTTCCGGTCTTTCTCACTCCTTATTATCCTATTAAATACTATTTCTCTACTCATGTCTACCAAACAATAATCAAGTTCAGAAAAATTATATACATCTCTTATATTTAGATCATGCTAGCATTCTTTTTGCCAAAGTCATGTGCATATACATGTGTTTAAGTATAGCTATATATTCAGAGTTGGTAATCAGTTTAAGTTCATATTTGTCTCTACTGATATGGAAAACATACATATTTCTACCAAAGTGACTAAAAAATATACTTACTGCCATAAACTACCAACAGACATCGTACTAGCAGAAAGGACTATGACAGAATGTACTATTTCAATAAGTTATTAACTCACTTCCAAATATATTCATAATGTATCCCTAAATGCTTGGTTCAAATATCCTAATAGCAGCAGGCCCAGACATGACAGTCCAACACACATACCTGTAATTTTCAGAATACTCACAAACCAAAACCTCAGAAATGTTATACTTCTGGAAATGAAGCCAAAGATCAACCTGAAATAATCAAGAAGATAAATGTACTTTCAGAGTAGCATCAAGAGAAACAAACATATTTTAATCTTAACTTACTTCTGATACTGAAGGACTCAGACCATCAACATGGACAAAATAATTGTTTTTCAAAAAATGTTTCCTCCCGTCTATTGTCTGTGTTTCTAAAAATATACAAAGCATATAATTCAGGTACTTATTTACGCTTAAACAAAAAGAAATGTCACATAAATAGATAAAGAGTGCAAAGTATTTAGAAAAACAAATTCCTGTGGAATTTTTTTCCTGACAATTCTTACTAACTCAAGGGGTACATTCCTAGATTACGTAGGGTGAATTTTTATTTGACCTTGCTTTTTCTCTTCTAATATTCTATAGTCCTCTTTTGGGGCGGGAAGAACATCTATATCATAAGCTGCAGATTGTTTTCTAACAATCTATCTATTCTAGCTCCCTCTGTTGATAAAAGCAGAACATTGTTAGCTTTAAAAATAAATTGAAGACAAATAAAAGACAAAATCACCAAATTAAGTAGAATGTAGAACATGGAATAACAGAGTTGAAAGGGACCTTGGAGATCTTCTAGTCCAACCCCCTGCCCAAGCAGGAGACCCTACACCATGTCAGATAAATAATTGTCCAGCCTTTTTAAAAGCCTTCAACGATGGAGCACCCACAATTTCTGAAGGCAAGCTGTTCCATTGGTTGATTACTCTGTTAGGAAATTTCTCCTTAGTTCTAGGTTGCTTCTTTCCTTGGTTAATTTCTCATCTTGCCTTTTAGTGCTTTGGGAAATAGTTTGATCTCCTCATCTTTGCAGGAGCCCCTCAAATATTTGAACACTGCCACGTCTCCCCTTTTCATAAGACTAGACATAACCATTTCCTGTAACCGCTCTTCATGTGTTTTAGCTTCCAGTCCTCTAATCATTCTTGTTCCTCTTCTCTGTACTCTTTCCAGAGTCTCAATATCTTTTTTATATTGTGACGACCAGAGCTGGATGAGGTATTCCAAGTGTGGTCTTACTAAGGCTTTGTAAAGTGGTACTAAAACTTCAAGTGATCTTGGTTCTATACCTCTATTAATGCAGCCTAGGATTGCATTGGTTTTTTTGGCTGCTGCCACACACTATTAGGTCATATTTAAATGATTCTCCACTAGGACTCCAAGATCCCTCTCACAATTACTGACATTAAGCCAAATTTCACTTAGCTTGTCCCTATTTTTTCTTGCCTAAATGTAAAATCTTACTTTTATCTACGTTGAATTTTATTTTGTTAGATAGGGTCCAATGTTCAAGTCTGTCAAGATCACTTTGGATCATGAGCTTATCTTCTGGGGTGTTGGCTATTCCTGTCACTTTAGTGTCATCTGCAAATTTGATGAGTTCCTTTTCTATTCCTTCATCTAAGTCATTTATGAAGATATTGAAGATACTGGGCCCAAATGGAACATTGGGGTACCCCTCTGCTTACTTCCCTCCATGTAGATGTAGTTCCGTTGAGGACTACACACTGAGTATGATTTGTCAGCCAATCACAAGCCCATCTGGTGGTGGTACTGTCCATCCTACATTTTCCTAGCTTGCCAAGAAGTCTACTTTATCAAATGCTTTATTGAAATTTAAGTATACTATGTCCACAACATTTCGCTGATCCACTAATTTAGTCACTTTGTTGAAAAATGAAATAAGACTTGTTTGGCATGATTGTTTTTGATGAATCCACAATAGCTATCGGTTATAACTTTGCTTGCTTCTAGGTGTTCAGAGATTTATTGCTTATCTCTTCAAAGATTTTCCCAGGTATTGATGTCAGGCTGATTGGTTTATAGTTTCCTGGATGTTTTTTTTTTTCTTTTTTTGAAGATGGGAACTATGTCAGCTCTTTTCCAGTCTCCAGTGATTCAAGAACTTTGAAAGACGTGTTTCAATGGTTTTGAAATTATGTCTGCCACTTCCTTCAAATCTCTGGGATGTAGTCCGTCAGGACCCAGTGATGTGAATCCATCTAGAGCTGACAGATGTTCTCTTACCTTATTTTTGCTTAATTTGCATTCCTAACCTGTCATTTATGGTTGTTTTTGGTAAGTTGAGAAGTGTTTTCTTTTTGCATAAAACTACATGCAAAGTATGAATTAAATAGTTCTGCTTTCTCTCTACTGCCTGTTACTTCTTTACCATCTTATCTCATTAATGGACCAATTGTTTCTTTGACTATTTTCTTGGTTTTTATGTGTTGAAACTTTCTTTATTGTTTTAACATTTGTTGCAAGTCTTACTTCATTCAAAGCTTTAGCTTTCCTAACTTCATCTTTGCAGGTTTGGGCTATTTGTTAGTATTCTGCCTTAGTTATGTGTCCCTCTTTCCATTTTTTTGTACATTTTTTTTCTCAGTGTTTTTTTTTCTTGGTTTTCTTTAATGGTATTGAATTGGAGTGGGCTTTTATAATTGTATTTTTCAGATTTTCCTAAGCTTCTTGAGTTGTTTTTTGCTCTAGGATTTTCATCCATGGAATCTTTCTCTAAGTTTGTTAAAATCAGCTCTTTTAAAATCTAAGACACTGGTTTGATTATATTCTGTTGCTTGTGTCTTGTTTATATTGAATTCTAATATGACATGGTCACTCTCCCCTAAAATTCCTGCAACTTCAATGCTCTCTATAACTTCTTCGCTGTTGCTAAGAATAAGATCTCGTATAGCTTTTCCTTTAATTGCCACCTCTACCTTTTGGGTGATGAAGTTGTCAGCTATGTGGGTCAGGAATCTGTTTGATCTCCCACTTGAAGCAGAGTTTGTCTCCCAGTTGATGTCAGGATAGTTAAAAGTCCACTATTCCTACTGTGGCATGTTTCCTACATACATTGGTTAACTGATAGCAAAAAGTTCATCTATTTATCCTGCTTAGTTGGGTGGCCTGTAGTATACACCTATGACAATGTCATTCTTTTTTCCTTTTATGTTCACCTATAAACCTTCTAAAAGGCTTTCATCCTTTGTTCTGTGCGTCTCTGTAGAGAAGTGATCTCTAACACATAATGCAACTTCACCTCCTCTTTTGTTAGGTCTGGTTTTTTTAAATAGTTTGTATCCTTTTAAGTAGAGCCAAAGAAATTGTGTTTTGGGCTTTGGCAGAATTTAGGACATACAATTTTTCAATGCTTAAGGACCCAATTTCACTCTTTAAACCTCCTAAAATTGCAAATACCTATAACAATAATGATATATCAAACATAAGAGAACAAACGAGAAATGAGAAAGACTAATTGACAAAGATAGATCACAACATAAAACTATTTATTTTACAAATTAATAATACTAATTGTCAATTTGTATTGGTAACTGATACCATCAATTATGAAATGAATTTTTAAAGTAATATTAGCATAACAGAACTGCGCTTTTTGGAATGTGCAGTCTATTTACTTTTTGAAGTAAATAGAAGTTAGTTTTTATACATTTTCTTATTGTTTTGAAAGTTGTTTCAGCATATTTCTATGAAAAAATGATTTATATAATTAAATGAGAAATTAACCTAATATCAGAACTGGCCCGACATGGCCCCTTAGCAAAGACAAAAACTAAGAGCCAAATGGATTACAGCACAGCAAAGCCAGAACTAAAGATCTGTGTGCCAAATTTTCTCAGTTAACTTTCTCTATCCAATTCCTCCCTGGTTCCTCCCCTTTGATAGTCCCTTACTGTTCAGATATATTTGAATAGATTGTTTTGATAACTGCTGGCTGGTTAGCCATTGCATTCTATTCCCATGGCTTTAACCTTGAGATGGTGTTTTTGGAAGGCACAATGAATAGTTACTTCCACTCTCTCATCTAGCTCCCTGCCTCCCCCCATGCCCATGGCAGACTGGCAGCTAGCAAATGTGAAGCTCAGTGTATGATGGCAGTTCTGACATTCTGTCCCCCTTGGAAAAGAATTAGACTTGGAGAGATAAAAAAAAAGTGATTAATGATTCAGTGGGTTTTATCTGGAACTTGCTGTGGAATTTACTCAAAAGATATGGGGCTTGCACATGTTGGGCATCAACCCATTCAGTATTAGAAGGTGGAAAATCCTTCCATAGAATTAAATATTAGAGTTTGCGCCTATATGTGCATGAATCTAGGATATCTTTGACTTCAAAATATTGTTCATCTTCAATGAGAATAGGGGATGGATGTGGCTCTACTGGTGTTCACAAGGGCAAGGTGGCTGTGGGTTTTAGGAACCTGCCATAGAAAATGAGATTGGATTCTTCTGAGGGATTTGAATAGCTTTAATCTACTATAACTGGGTTGATAACTCTGGTTATGGGGAAAGATCCAATGTATTTTGGGCCCAATTTTCTGAAGGTTGTCTGGATTGCAGTTATTTTATGGAGAGGTACACTTCATCTCTGATTTTGTAATCCTTTTGTGGGGTTCTCTTCTTGTCGGCATATTTATAAGTGTCTCTCACATCATCTAGTGCTTTGCAAACTTGCCACGTGGTTTGCAATGATTTCACCCACTCAGTCAGTGATGTACATTGGGGTGACTGTTGTGGAAGCTCCGGCATTATTGTGATTCCGTGCCAGCCTGTGCTCTGAACAGCTGAGTCTGAGGAATCTGAGGAGGAGGTGGAGGAGGCATTTGAAGGGCCATCAGGGGCAGAGGGAGGCTCTGATGAATTACAGGACTCACGGTTTGATGCAGAGCCTGGGCCCCCCAGTCGTGTTCTGATGAAGCTCAGCTGTGTGAGGAGAATGAGTCAGACTCAGAGGACTCACACCTGGTGGACTTGCTAATTGATGCTCGCACTCGTCGTCAATTAGCGAGAGTAAATCAGCAGCAATCAATACGGCAATTCCAGGGTAAAAGGAGAAGGCAATGAGAGGCAACACCTTGGGACTGCTGTATAAAAAGAGGAGGTGTGGGCGGTGCTGGTTGCTGAAGGCAACCGTTTGCAAAATACTTCTTGGAATTCTGGTCTGTTTGTCTTGCTTGTGACTACTCTTCTGTTTGCATCGTGTTTCCTGTGGACTATTTCCTTCATTTGGACTTGAGTTTTGCTATTTGTGTTTTGGACTATTTGACAGGTTTGTCACCCACATTAAAAGGGGTTTTTTTATTGAAAGTTTTTAAATTTTACAAAACAAATCCCTTCCCCAAAGTCCCCCACCCTCC